GTCTGAGGGATAGCTACAGTTTCTCTAAATGCTCAGTAATTATATTGTTTTCTATAAGAGAATCTAGTAACAAACTGACCTTTTAATAAAGAATAACTGTAGTTTTTGCCAATTTGAGCCAAACAACATCTCACAGAACTAAAGATACTAGCTAAAAAGTATTTACTTAATAAAAGTTGTTGAAACTTAATGTTAAGTACTTATTTTGGTATAATTTGTACCTGGTGATTGCATTATATAATTTAATAATAGAATGTGTAGCTAATGAACTGATCTAAGATCATCTAGAATTAGAAAATAATATATCTACATATAGCTATAAAATTCCTTTTTATCTGTTATACAACCCTTGTTCTATATCAAATATTTCTTTGTAAAAAATAACATTTGACCTGATAATAACTTTACAAGAGTATGATTTTTTTATTAATAACAACAATTTAACACTAATAGAGTTTTTTTAAAAGGTTCAATTATACATCGAAGCAAATAGCTATTTCAAAATAGCACTCAGTTCTTAGCATGCTCCTTAAAGTTTATCCAGATAAACCCAAATTTGTTAATATCTACCAAAATCATATAAAGAATAAATATAAGCAAGCAATCAAAGATCATTTAAATCATCATCTGCTTCTATTCTTGATGAGAAAAAGATTAGCCAAAAATAGATTCAGTTGTATTATATCCAGCTTTGTATACTCTAAATTCTTTTATACTTTATCAGGATTCTATTGATAGAATGCTAACTAAGAAAACAGGAAAAGCAATTCGAAATTATATTAATGATTTCCTTTCTAATAATCAAGTAAATTTTAAAAAATCTCGCTTGACAGAATCTGTTAATAGTTCAATATTAATTTTAGCTGATTCAAAGATAAATAAAGTTGATCACATTACTGATTTGCCTAACGAAAGAGAGGGTAACACATTAGTTTTGTATTTGTCATATTTTAAACACAGATTTAATATGCATGTATAAAATAGATGAGTCTGAGCAATTCGACACACGTAATTTATTGACTAAGGTATTATTATTTTTGGTGCCAAAAAATCAAACAAATTGATGTACTAATCATCAACTGTTTAGAAGCGACATTCTTGGGAAAATGTTATTAAAGAGATCGATATAAGAAATGACTCTAAAAAGGATGTGAGTACAGTCTCGATGTGATTAATGTTTTGCCAGTATATTAAATAACAATACTCACGCACTTTTTCAGTGGATTATTGATAAATATAATCTCTCAACTGAATTTCGTAATTTTCAACTATCAACAATCCGAGAAATTGAAAAGATCCCTTTTCTGTCCTTTAAAACTGATCTTCATAAGATTCTGTAAGTATTATATGCTATCTGAATTACGACTATTTCACATTATGTTCATTAATACGTATATAATCAAATAGTTGCCTGTCCAACATAATGCTTATAGAGCAGACAAGGCCGTTGTATCTCACCTGCGTTGAAACAGTTTGGAGCCAAATATGCCAAAGACAAGTGCCTCCAAGTTTGCCAGATGTGGTCCAAAATATGATTTTGGAATATTCTAAAGTATATCTATTTTCAGTTTTGTAAGTTAATCCCAAGCTTCCCTTTCCAAATTCTAGCTATTGAATGCATTCACACCAATAGTTGATATTCAGAAGACTTGGTGTAGAAATTTTTCAAAAGTTAACGAGTTGAGCAACCAAGATGACATAGAAAAATTTTGTGGAATTCAAATTATTTTACGTAATTTGTAGGTAATTAAAACCACCATAGTCGATGCAATACTGAATTAAACGAATATCTTCTTTTACAGTTTATTACTGAACCTCAAAGCCAATAATGACAACGAAGACACCTTCGTTCATGACATGTTGCACGATTTGCTAAAAGAAATCTTTCGCGATCCAATTTTTGAGTTGATCTGGTGAGGGTTTTAGTTTGAGCTTGCTGTATGGTTGGTTAAATCATATAATCCAATGCCTGGTTTAAATAAAAGGGCCAACAGTGAAAGCGCTTCGTCAAAAAATCGACGTCGTAACAATAAAGAAAATTCGCGAGGTAAAAAACCGGATTTTAAGCTCCTAGTGAATACAAATGATGAGATTCTCTTTGGCGAAGTCAAATCACCAAAATATAAAAATCTATCTTCATTGGTTTGTCAAGATTTTGTCAAGCTTGCAAATTTTCAATCCGGTACTTTGGATGAGTTAGTTAAAAAGTATGGAAATAGGATTGGAATGACATCTTTCGGAGTGTTGATTTGTGGCAAGTGCACGGGCTTGGTTTGATTTTAGAATTCTTATACATTTGCTAATACTTGATTGCGTTTATAGGAGTGCAAATCCGAATTTATCAAATGGACTTAGAATATGATGGGTTGTACAGGATGTATCTGGTCGCAGACGTAGTTTTACCCACTCAAAAATCCCAATTCATAAGTCTGGTGCCAATATTGGAGGCATTGTACAATGTAAAAGTAAGTGATCATTGATAAGATTTTAAAACTGTTTTTTATTATCTCAATGAGATGTAACTCACTACTTATGTAATTTGAAGGATTCCGTTTCTAAAGTTTTGGAGGTAATTACCTCAGACACTTCGCATATTTTATCTCGCTCCGATTATTGCAGATTACCCCCACCCTCACCGGAATTTGTCCAAGTTTCGGTTGTAATTTCTAACGAAAGATAGATTTCAATCTAAACTGATTACGTAATACATACCTGGATGTAGCACATTCTGAAAATGTAAAAAATAAAGCTTTATTGTGATAAATTACTACGTACAACGACCCAAGTTATATATGACATGTTATGTATCTGACATATTTAATTGGTTAAATATTATGTGTTGGAAATTTTTTCAGTATAAAAGCGAATTTTTAGGATTACGGAACATAATTTTCGAAGAGTTTTACTAAAGCTAACGTTATTAATTTGTTTCTTGGCACTGTATGTCTTGTATAAGTGTTAATTGTGTTTGTATAGATACGTGACTTTTGTCATTGAAGAAAAATACCCGTAACATTGAATCTCAATACATCGTAAGCAAACAGATATAATAATTAAATTTCGAATTTTTGAGACTAATTCTCATGCTAAAGGTAGCTCCACGAAGCTTATTAATATGGGACCGTAAATTACATTGCGGCATACTAAAGGATGGTTTAAATACTACATAGATTGATGAATATTATGAAAGAATGGGAAAAAATCCATACTCAACTTATACAAATTTTTAATTAGGCATAATCAGGTACAAATACCCTACTTCGTAGAAAAATAATTCACACGCTGCGTTAAAATAAAAATGGCGAGGCCACAGGATCCCCTCTTTATTTATAAAAATTGTTGCCAGAAAGATAACATACAAATACATCGTAGCTAAATAATACAAATACGAATAAAAAATCAATTCCCCTTGTATCCGTAATATCTTCTCACTTTTAAACGTGTTATTGGATTGATACCCATAATATCGGAAGATCAATAATCAAACCTACACCGGATAGCTTTTTTTGATCGCTTTCTGGATTGGAGCCATTAGTCGTGAAGGTGTTATTATCATTGTTATTGGGGCGTTATCATCATCAGCTTTGGGGGTACTATCGTTGGTCTTGGGAGTGGTTTTTTTATTACTACTCATTTTCGTTCCTAAATTTAAAAAATCATAGTAAGTAAAAATTCGGTTTCATAGTATTCGTTAAACGAAATAGCAAATTATTTAAAAAAAATACGGGCAAGTGAACCAAGTAAAAATATATATGAGCAAAAAATAACGTTATTGCTAACTTATTTTAAGGTGGAAACCTGCTTCTTTTTATACCGTCAATTCGTTAGATCTAAAAACCTACCAGAAAAAAAGTTACATGATTAGTAATTGTGTTAGGATAACGCAAACTAGATCCCACCATGTAAAGCAAGTCTATTCGGTTATAAGTTCCAAACACCGAATCTATTTTATTATTTTTCTGGTGAAATTAAACCCCTTATAATCGTCGATCGCTTAAGGTAGGTTTAGATCTGACGATCTCGGGAGATGGTGGAGATTCCAGAAGCGAAGCTTCCTCACTCCGTGAGAGTTCCCACAACATATGATTTTTGATAAAACTACTGATAAACTCATTACCCTCATAGCTTTTTTAAGTCCCATTCGTGCGTTTTCTTATCGCGGGATCATATACAAGGTAAAGAAAGGGTCTAGTTATTCGTAAAATTAATAGTTAAAAAATCGACATTGGAAAAGTAATTATGCATTAAGGTAGCACCGCATAAAATTTAATGCCGGCCATTGATTATTAAAGCCGGTCAAGGCTTTATCACTCCAAGTGATCGTTCGACCTAGGCCAAGCCACTGTTGAATAAATCTATGTAAAATCGCTAAGCCACTGTTGAAGTAACAGATCAGCGAAATTTAAAATTATCGAATTTTTGCGTAATCTTATTTGACGCATGTGTTAAAATAAAGCCAGATATATGTTTACAGGTATGATATTTCTTTGTACGTATCCACAGCCCTTATTCTAAATTTGTATACTGTATACTGGCAAATATTTATTGAATTTCGTAGACGCATGTTGATCGAACATCTGATACGTACGCATATCGATATTAGCAATAATTTTAAATAAAGCATATCGATATATACACGACAAGAGTATGGATATTTATAGCTTATCAGGTAATCTGCCCCTTAAAAACAAACATGAGGCTAACAATTATCGTTATAAGCAAACACAGTAGTATCCCCTCATATAAATCCTTTTTGTAATAAAATTTTTGATTTTTTTTTACCGATAATACACTTTCTTCCACCTTTTCACACTAGGTTGTTTTTGTGTTGATAAGACGACTTCTATAGCTACTTGACATGAGTTTGCTTTGGCAAGTTGTGTGATCGAACATGCACACAATCTTCTTGCTTTAACAGAGCAGATGGCTCAGTGCTTTGGCGATGGTAGTTCGTTTGTTCCGCAAAAAATATGCAATCTAGCTGTCTTCTAATAATATAGTCTTCTTCAGTCAAGCAAAAAATTTCGTTTCTACTACTGAAGCGATAGGGCCTCTGACTATGTGTATTAATGTTTTAGCGAAATAATATGGCGCAGGGACTCGCATTAAATGGTTTAGGATCCGTGTACTCCCTCCCTTGAAAGCATGTCATATATTTTTTCCATTTATTTTTATATATAAAAACACTATTACAGAGGGTGTGATTGTCAGCTATCATTGTCTGCATAGTGAGGAGAGGAAGATCACACAGGCTTTCCGCGGTTTCGTCCACTGAACTATGAGATGAGAAATAGTTTGAATATATCCACCTTGCTTTTTATTTATTATACTTCTTTCTGGGATAGTCATGCAAAAAATTTCGTCTAACTTTAGACGATAGGGTCTTTGACTTCATATATCTAATCGATATTCATTTATTACAATACCTCTCGCAAAAATTGAATCCGAAATTAAGGAAATATTAAGTTGA